GGCGGTAGCTTTGCACCACACACCTGGCCTGATAGTGACGGGCATGCTGTGGGCATTGGGTGAGACCAGCTGATTGTGGTGCGCTGCATGATGGCTTGGACAGGATGGTTGGTTAACTGGGATTCAATCAAAGGCAGAATTCTTATTCGGGTTCAGCCTCTTCAGCCAAAAAAACCCACTTGTGCTATCCGGGAAGTGCAGAGACTTCATTACAGACTGAAGGACTGAGGCCGCTTCTGAATGAATCTACGTGTCCAGGGAATTTGCCAGTGGTCTGTGAACAAGCCCTTATGTCAGCATTAAAAAAGAAATCCTGGGAAATTGGTAAAGTGTGTGTCTGTGTGTGTGACACTCTGTGTGTGGGTGTGTGTGTTCAAAAGGGGGGCCGTCCACTCTGAGGCGCGTATCTAAACTCCAAAGCAGACCATGGACAGCCGCAGTTAGAAGCACCTTGAAAACCAGGTGGGTTTGTCGAAATGTTGCCAGCTCACCTTACCTTTTAATAGGCAGCAGCCAAATGTATTTTAATTCTGATTTCCTAAATACCAGAAAGGCTCTGGGAAGAATTAGGAGGCGGCTGATTAGTGGGGCATTTGGAGAAGAACCCACAGTTTGGCCAAAGGCCAAAGGCAACGAAGAGCAGTGGTCAGGTGAGGGGAGTTGTGGCCAGGGAGAGGGGCCTCCAGCAGAGGCATCAGCCAAGCCTGCTAGGAAACGCGTGGAAGGGGATGGGGCTGTATGGGGGCTGAGCTCTGCTCCCTTCCCTGCAGAGGGGGCCAGTGGAACAAGCAGCACAGGTGAGCCAGGTGAAGCCCAGGTGGTCCCTGCCAGGTTGGAAGGAAGGGGGGTGAGCCAGAGGGGGGAGACTCTCTTCTGCATCCTGGGCTGCTCTGCTGGAGTGCAGAGGTAGAAAGCCGGATTCTCCCCCGGGTGGAGCATAGAGAGAGGGGGGGGGGCTCTGAAGGAGATCTCCCCCCCCCCTGTAAGCCTTGAGGAAGGACTACGAGGCTTCGCCCCTCTGGCCGAGCGACTGTCGCAGGGGCTGCGGCTGCAGAAGAGGCCCCTGTGGCGATGCCACCCTCTGCCCACCAGAGCCATCTGAAGCTGCCTCGGAGGAGGGACACACAGACGCCCTCACAGTGCCCGAGGCAGGCCTGGGCAGGGGCCAAGGCTTTGGGGCATCTCCACGCTCTCCTTCCTTTGCTCCGGAGGTTGCCAGAGAAGCTGCCTCCGCCTTCCTGCCTGCTCTGCCCGGGCAAAGCTGTGGGAGCCTCCGGGACAAAGTTCAGAGACGCTGCTATAAATAGCCCTTGTTCCTCCACCACTATTTTTAGCTCCCCGAGGGCTATAATTACCTTCTGCTGCTGCCCCGGCTGGCTGGCGCTACTGCTGCTCGCCCAGGGAGGGGCCGGGAGCTGCGGCCGGCGGGGCCAAAGACCGCAGGCAGGGTGTGGAGGGCACCCACCGGTGGGCAGCTGGCTAGGCGGCCGCAGAGCGCTGGCGAGGATTTGGCTCCAGGGCTCTTTGGAGACGGGGGGGGTGGGGGTGGGGGTGGCCCAGGCTCTGAGATGAGAGACGGCCTGGAAGGAGGGAAGGAGGCAGGTGGTCGTTTTGCTCCCTCCCCACCCCTGCAGGCCTTTGGAGAGGAAGTGTTGGGCCCGGATGCCCCCAGAGCCCCCCCCCATGAGCAGCACACTGCAGAAGGCCCGGAGTTCTCTCTCTCTCCCCATAGGAGGCCTTTCCTCCCTTCCCTCCCCCACCCTGGGCTGAGGG